TTAGCTTTGATTTTTTAAGTTCTATTATTATCTACATACCACTGTAGATAATCTCACAGGCATAAAAATCACTAATCCAGCTATCTTCCTACAGTCAAAGCTGGCTCAGGATAGAACAAGGAAGTGAGTTTATTTCCCACTTCATAAAAGGCCAAAATAAAAAAAAAATTTTTTTAATTTAAACTACTATTAACAGAAGCATCCTTTTGATCAACTTTCAATAGTTAATGTACTATATACATAGGAAACTGTTGGTCACTACATTCTAAAGAGAATTTAAGGGCTGGCCGGTTAGCCCACCTGGGATAGTATGGTGCTGGTAACACCAAGGTCAAGGGTTCAGATCCTCCTACCAGCCAGCCACCAAAAAAAATAAATAAGTAGAATTTAGAGGTCCCCAACTCAGTCTTCCACACAACGCAGTAATCCTTTCTGAAATATTTTAGACCCAAGGTAATAAACTGGTGGCATGAAGACAATTTGCAGTCTGTAGATATAGTCTACTTGGCCTGCACAGAATTTTTTTCTTTTTTAATTAAGACAACAAACAAAAATCCAGATTTCTGCCTTCTCTTGAAAATTCATGTGGGGCTGCATGTCGCTACCCCTTTGGAGGAGGCACGCTGTCTCCGCTTCACCCCAGCTCCCACTACTTCCAAATGGCCCTTCACTTTTGCATCATCTGCCTGTCTGCTTTAAGCATCTGAGCATTTTAGTCTGTAACCACTCGTCCAGAGAGACGGTGATCCACTCTGTGGCTGAACATCTCCACTACATGGGAGAAGCTCACAGCTTTGCAAGTTAGGCAACTCTAAACACTACAGAGATTTGTCTAGAATAATTTCCAGACACTGGAACTAGCCCCATCCTTGGAAACAAGCAAAGTAAGTCTACTCTCTCTTCCACAGCAAAGCTTTCTAGATATCTGAAGGCAACTGACTTCCTAGGTCTTTAGTTCTACTTTAACATCCCAGAGCCTCCAAACATTCCTCGTAGTAATATGTTTTCAAGTACATCCATTGCAATTGGCATGCTCCTCCCCATGAATGAATTCTACTTATGATTTATTTTTTAACTATTACGTATTGATTTATTATTTATATTAGTTATCAGTATTCTTCACATGTACATATCCTTGATCTAGATGAATGGTCTTAGGATACTTTATACTTTTTGGTCTCAGGATCCATTACACTTTAAAAATTCATTGAGGATCTCAATGAGCTTTTACTTAAGAGAGTTATATCTATCACTATTACAGTATTAGAAATTAAAACTGAAAAATTTTTATTTATTAATTAACTCAATAATTCTTAATATAGTAGCATGTTTCTATGACAAATAAACACAGCTTCCAAAACAAAATAAATTAGTGAAAAAAGTGGCATTTTTTACATTTTTGCAAATCTTTTTAATGTCTGGCTTAATAGAAGACAGCTGTGTTCTTGTATCTGCTTTGCATTCAATTTCTTGAAATATCATACATCAGGTGGGCTCTGGAAAACTTGGAGAATGAGAGTAAAAAAATGCAGCACCCAGCCATTGGGATTGTTGGCTGATAACTCATAGCAGCCCCTTCTCTGGAGAATTACTCAGTAAAACTAGAGCCACCTGGCTTGGGAAGCTTTGTCCACCTGTACTTCAACTAATGACTGATAGACAAGCCAATAACTGTCAAAGAATACAAAAGGCCAGCCCCAATGGCACAATGTGAGACTAATTCTGTAGTACGGTTTCATAGGGAAAATATAGGAAACTGGTCAGGGCCCCTCAGTTGTTCAGAATCTTACTGAACATTTGATGCAATGATAACTGTGCATGTGCACCCAGATGTTCTTTGGCTATTGTCTGCAGATGCATGTGGTCATTCAGGTGTTCCTGGGTTGTCTGAATCCACCCAGGTGTTCCTGAGTTATCAGACTTAAGTATAAAAGACAAGTGGCTCTGATCCAGTGTCCCCCACCCCCTGGCTGCCCCCCAGAGTGGGGGGGTGGGGGTTCACAGGGAGGAGGCTGCTGCTGCTGAGGAAGCTGAGGACTGAGCTTGTGTCATCTGCCAACAGCTCCTGGGATACTTCTCAATTACCTAATTTGTGGACCTGCATGTGAGGGGTCTGGTGACCCCACCAGGCATATGAGGGGTCTGGTGACCCCACCAGGCATATGAGGGGTATGGTTACATAGTGCTGGGAAAATATAGAGAAATAGTCAGGTCCCCTCAGATGTTCAGAATCTTGCCAAACATTTGATGAAAATATGTATGTGTGCCCAGGTGTTCCTTGTTATTGTCTAATGTAATTGCACATGTGCGCCCAGGTGTTTTGGGTTATGGACTTAAGCATAAAGGACTAACAGCTCTGATACGTGGCGCTTCTGGGGACACTCCAGGAAGCCACTAGGGCAGCTGCTCCTAGCTCTGAATAAAGCCTATTAATTTTTTTATCCACGGCTCCTAGGACCTTTTCCTATTACCTAGCTCATAGACCTGCATGTGGAGGATTTGTGACCCAGTCTGTACAATGGGTTTGAAGAGTCTGTTAGCCCTAGCCCTAGCTTTACACATAGCCAGGCATATGAGGGGTCTGGTGACCCACCCTGGCATGTGAGGGGTCTGTAACCCAGTCTGCACAATGGGTTTGAAGGGTCTGCAGGCCCTAGCTCTAGCCCTAGCAATACAGTTGGCTACGTTGGCAGGATTCTGACAGCTGCCCTAACTATACAGGTTTATGCTCTGGAGCCTCACAGGGGATCAGACTAACATTAGTCTCTAGCTGAAACCACACTCTTCCATAGCTTTTATACCCTTTCTCTGTCCTGCTTTCCCCACTCCTTTCACCTAAGAGCACATCCTTAATAAATCACTTGAACAGGAATCTCCAGTTCAGGCTCAGCTTCTGGTGAACCCAACCCAAGACATCTTTCATCCCATCAGGACTGTTGCAATATGGACTCTGGAGTGCATCATATTAAATAACCATCTCAGCTGTGCAGCATCTCTTTTATGCTATGCATTCTGTTATCAAGTAGGGCAGTGATTCTCAAAATGTGGTCCTGGGACCAGCAAAATCAGCAACCCCGGGGAACTTGTTAGAACTGCAAAATCTCAGGCCTCACTCCAGACCTACCAAATCAAAAACCCTGGGGGTGGGGCCCAGTAATTTGTTTTAACAAGCTCTCCAGGTGATTCTCATGTCCAATGAAGTAATAACCATTACTGTTACAATGGTTAAGAGCATGAGTTTTGTTGTCAAATTTAATAACTTCTTAGCTATTGTCCTTAGGCAAGCTTCTTAACCTGTGTCTCAGTACCTTATATGTAAAATGAAGATAATATAGGTATCCCTATCATAAGATGAAATGAATTAATACATGCAAATCACTTAGATTAGTGCTCAAAGTGCTCAATAAACTTAGGCTACTGTCTTTACTACTGTGAATGTTGTTATGGTTATTATTAGTATTATCAACTATTTTCATCCACCTTCACTAGCATTATCCATCAGTTAGCCATATTAGTATCTATTGTCACAGGGTTTTTATGAGGATTAAATAACATAATAAAGTAACTAGTAAGATAAACTGGCACAAGATAAGGACACAATAAATTACCATTGTTAAGTATTATTTTGTGAGAGTTAAAATGTTAATACTTGAAGGCATTATGCTGACACAAATGTTTGTTGAAAGAGAATCTATTAAAGTCCTTGACAAAAATATTGCTGGGAACTAAACAAACAGAAGTGCTCTCTAACTCCACCAAAGCCCTTCACTCATGCTTGATATCTACTCACTCATACATCCACGTTGCTTAGGTATGGTTCTCCAACTGCCTACATACACAATTAACTTAGGAAAAAATGTAGAAAGATTATTTTATAACCTAAGTAAGTTAGGCGGTCTAAATATACTATGAATTATCAAATAAAAAAAAATAAAACACTGGAGTTGACTGACTAGACAATGAAGGGCTTATCGTCAGATTCCGTTCCTGTGACAATTCTTACAAACATTACTAAAAACTCATTGCAGATCTCTCTTCTTAAACATTGTTAATTTTTCTATGTAAATGGTGAAAAAAACATGTTAATATCTAGTGGAAACTAAACTCTTTCAGAATTCAATCAATTCTAAGTGGTTCACTTGAAAACCCAGCTTATATCAAAATATAGAAGTATCTGATCCTTCAAGTGAGCTGATTCTAAGGGTAATCAAATCTGAAGATTTAGTAAAACAATAGATATTTATTGAGTCATCCTACCTCCATGGGGGTTACAGTCTAAGAAAACAATCTGGCTTTAAACACCATATATATAAGTCTAAGGAGTACTAAGAAAGAGAAATAAAAAATATATACTTTTAAGGCAAATCATTGAAGAGAGTGAATAGGAACAAAAGTTACTAAAAAGAAGAGAAAAAAAGAAAACCAGCCTTATATGTATACATGTATATGCTTGTATATGTATGTAATCTTTCAATTACTGTCTCCGATATGGGAGGGGGGGAAATACATTTCTCTATTGTTTATTTTTACAATGAATACATACAATTGTTTAACAATAAGAACTACAATAAGGCTATTTGCATTTTGATTTTAAAAAATTGAAAAAAATCCCAGAAAACCATTAAGCTATTAGCACTTTAATAAAATTTAACTTAGCAAGGTTTTCAAGTCAAGGCTAAAGTACACTAAGGGATGAGACCCAGATCCAGCATATTTTTAAGGGGATAGCAGAAAAGGGTTAAAGGCAGATCAGGCAAAAAGGTCTCCAGTCAAGTATTAAGCAGCCTAGGAATAGGTCTGTATTATCCTGAGGGGATGTCCCTAGAGAAAAATGTGGACCTTAACTGTACCACAATTTTTACTTTCAATATTATAAAAGAAAATACCTCCTTCTGCCCCTACAACAGTCCGAGGATCCAACGGCAGTTAATTTTCTAAATATATATTTTAATTTATACTTCACAAAAACTGAAAAGAACATGATGCATTAAACTACTCACCTCCATGGAAGGACAAGTCTGTACACAGGCAGATGTTCCTGGATGTGACGCCACAGTCCCATTTTTAACTTGAAAGTGTGTTTTGTACATGTAGCCATCAGAACAGTCCTGCGTTCCATCACCAAAGAATACAAAAGAAAATGCCAATTATTTTAAGAATTCACCATTCTAAGAGCTACTTCTCATAAATCCTAAAACGAACAATGAGAAACTAGTTGTATTAAATGAAATAAGATGACATGGATAAAGAGACTAGTCCAATACACCCTGCACATAGTAGACACTCAATAAATAGAAGCTTTAGTCTCCTCCTACCTTTCTCATTTATTAATGATATTCCACTTTCTCCTAAATTAAATCCTCTCCCACGTTTTTTTCCCTGACTAGTCCATAGCACCAAGGTCATAGAGAGTAACTTTAGCTTGCCAGCTATTAAAAAGCATTTAAGCTTATAGAAATATCTTGTCACATAATTAAAATTGATTTTTAAGACATTTACATAGAAAAAGATCTTAGGAGGATTTGCAACAGATCTTGAAGCTGGAAGAGATCTTACATTTCAATTTCTTTTTCAAGGCAAAATCTCTAAGAAAATGTCTCAGGGAGGTAATTATGCAGTATCTGCCTGAGCACTTCCAGGAACCTGCACTTTTTATTCCTTTACACACAGCCACTTCCATTTTGGTGCATTGTACATTGAGAAACTTTTGTCATATTGCATTGAAATGAGATCTAGTTCTACCCTATGGAGTCTAATCCCTTTTCCACAGAGCTGTTCTTCAAAGAGTTGAATAAAATTACTACCATTTTCAAATATTCCTTACAAGATATGGTTTCCAAGCCCTTCATCAGTTGTATTTCTCTCTTGTTTCTTGTACTTTCTCTTAAATACACTAATGAATGATGTTCATCTAATTGTAGTCAGTTCCACTTTTTTAAGGCAAAACTTGTTTAAATTCAATAAAATCATATGCAAGAATACCTCCCCGTGCACGAGCATACTCACAGCCAATGAATATAAATTCTCCACCAAATTTTCATACCAACATTTACATTTTAACAAAATGAAAATAATAACTAAAGAAAAGTGGTTAAATAATCATCTTAAAAGAGGGAAATTTGGATACAGTGACACAGACACACAGGGGAGAAAGCCACATGAAGATGGAGATTGAAGTGGTGCATTTACAAGCTAAAGGATGCCAAGGATTGCCATCAGCCACCAAAAGCTAGAGGAGGCAAGGAAGGATTCTTTCCTGGAGGCTTCAGAGGGACCATGGCCCTGCAGCTATGGGTTAAATGTGTCCCCCAAAGTTCATGTATTGAAAACTTAATTTCCATTCTGACAGAGTTAAGAGGGTAGGAAATCCAATTATGGTAATTAAAAGATGGAGCTGTTAAGAGATGACTGGATTGTGAGGACTAGGTCCTCATAAATGGATTAATCCATTGATGGTTTAATAGGTGCTCATGGGCATGGCTATGGTGCCTTTAGAAGGAGAATGAGTGAGCAGTTGAGCTCTCTTGCTCAGTTGCTTTCTCGCCATGTGATACCATTGTCACCAAGGGACTCTGTAGAGTTCCCACCAAGAAGGCCCTCACTGGATGGATTCCATGAACTTCCCAGCCTCCAAAACTATAAGAAGTAAATTCTGTTTCTTTATAAACTATCCAGTTTCAAGTATTCCATTATAAGTGACAGAAACAGACTAATACACCTGCCAACACCTTGATTTCAGACTTCTCCAAACTGTAAGAAAAGAAATTTCTGCTATTTTAAGTCACCCAGTGTGTGGTACTTTGTTACAGCATCCCTTGGAAACGAACTGTTAAGGTAAATTATCAAATATCCGATACTATTATTTTTAATTCTTTCATTAAGGTTATGTGTTTTGTCCATGGAATTATTATTTTAAATTCCAGCTCTACATCATCCAACCACAAAGCACACTCTGTGATGGCCTTCTACCAATGAAATCTTTGTATTTAGACAGTGTAAATTTAATATTGGCTTAAACTGAGAAAGATATATGTAGTGACTTGTCGCTGCTGCTGCTGTTTTACATCAAGCATCCATTCCCCCTTCTTTTGGAACAGTAGTCAGTTTTCCTTTAAGGAATTATTCCCTTCTCCACTGTCAGTGTTGACAGGTCCTCTCAGTCCCTGGGATGGGCACAGGACCCCGAGCTGGCCAGTCAGTCCTGGTGGCTGGCACAAGGATTCAGAAAGGCAGATGATCTCTACTCAGGGCCAATGAGATGCAGTTTAGTATTTGGTTTTGGGGGTGTGGGAGGGCTGTTCTCTTTTCCACTGGGTTTGAACCAGAAAGATAAAAAACCTGGCAGTCATCATGTAATTAAACAAATGCAGAGGAAAGCAAGGCCATGAGATGCAGATAGACCAGATTCGGATTACACTATTTACACTAGCCATACTTGAAGCTACCTGAAGTAGTTCCACACTCACATTTTTCCATTACATGGTCCCAAAAAATCCCTTTGCTTCACCCAATGGGTTAGGTTTTCTGTCTCTTGCAACCAAAATAATCTTGCTGTTAAATGACGTATTGTGTTCAATAGTATAAAATTACAAGATTTTTGCTGTATTGTATTGTTACCCTCACTATGATAATCAATACTTGATTATATAAAATATTTATCAAATACAATAAAACTATAATGGTATGTATTTTCAAGAAAAAGTACTTGCAGTTCACAATTTCAAAATGAACTAGCCATAGGGAAAAACAAAAAACAAAAAAAAAACCTCTGAGGACATTCAAAGAACAGTTAGAGATAAACTGTCTGTACCAAATATAACTCATCAAGTGAGGGTAATCGTTCTATTTTGTATTTTTCTATACCTGAGCAGTGGACGTATAACCTTTTCTTAAGGGATAATACAATTTAGTAAAACTCTAATTAGAATGCAAAATACATCTCTTTTGACATCAAAAGAGGTGAGTCAAATACTCCTATGCACCTATGTTATAAAATCTAATAAATTATCTGGTCTCTTTCCAAAGAGTTAAGATAAAGATATATGTCATTTTTCATTTTCAAAATTACTAATAATTGAAGGAATTTCAAATTCCATCTTAGTTCATTTCTAATAATATTTATTACTATCTATAGGGAGGAGCACAAGGGTTTTTGACCCAGTCTATATTTGGTAGTGAGAATTTTCTCTTCAGTCTCAATCTCTTAGTCAAGATTAGCCTTAAAAAATTAAATATTGAAAATGGCAAGTTGTTAGCATTTTGATTTCCCTTCAAACACTTACTTTCACAGAAGTAGGTCTTTCTGCTATACTGTTTTAATTTGGGCAGAAAAATATGTTTTGTCTTCATTGTTGACAGATGTCTTTTTAGAGACAAGCAAACATACAAGCATGAGAACCACTACCCTAAGTCAGCTCTGCAGTTCATCCAGCACCATACTCAACATTCAACTCAAATCTTCCCTTTGCAATGAAGTTTCCCCTGACTGTTCCAATCAATACTCCTCTCTAGCTTCCCTGCATTCTTTTTGTATTTACCATAACTTACAATTCAACATTTAACTCCTCTTTAATTTTTATTAACATTTGTTAGTTTTATTTCCCCCAACAGATCATAAACTCAAGGTCTAGGCCCCAGCTCTTGAGGGAAGTCAGGGTCTTAACTACACAATACAGACTGCTGTTACACATACAACCTGATCTAGATAGTCTGAAAACATTCTGGACCAGCTGGGAGAATGTAAAAAACAAAGGGAACCTTGCAGTTTACTCAGTTCAACCCTCTCATTTTAGAGATAAGTGGGTGAAGGACTGAGCATTTCTAAGAAACTTATCTTACAGCTAATTAGGAGCAGAGCTGGAAGTGGGGAGCCAGTCTCTTGACCCAAGCATTCTTTCAAGTACACTAAGCAAATTCTGCCACAGAGCAGGACCGTGGCAGAAACAGCTTATTGATGCTCGTGGCCCGGTGTAGGCCAGCGCTTTGCACTTTGAGTAACAAGGTGAAGCCACTCAAGCGTGGTCTGGGGATCAGCAGCCTCAGCATTAGCTGAAAGCTTATTAAGCATGCAGAATCTCAAGCCCCCCACCTCAGCCTCCTGAATCTGTATTTAACTGGATCCTCAGTTGATTCATGTGCACAATTGGAAGCACTGAGAAACATGCACTGCAATCCCTGACTCAGAGATTGCAAACTGATTGCATTAACAATGGTTCTCAGCCCTAGCTGCACATTAGAATCACCTGGGGAGTTTTCAAAATGCTATTCCTGGGCCCTCACCTCAGACCAATTAAGTCACAACCTTCCCTGCAGATTCTAGTGGGGCAGCCATGGTTAAGAACCACTGCACTAAATTCATTAGAGCCTCCTTTTTGAACTCAGAGAAGAGCAGTCAACCAAATAATCTACAGATGCCTCAGGAGAAAAGGCCGCAAACAACTCAAGACCTTCAGGAACACTCACTTGGAGTTCTCCAAATGTTAAAATCACCTCTGTTGATACTCATCTTGGAGATCTGGCCAAGCTGAGACTGCCTTTTAAGTGGTCCTTACTACTGCTTCAAACCCAACCTTCTGGCAATTTGCCCAGCCTTGACCTGGTCCTCTGCCATTAATCTTGTAACTTAAGATTGCTCCATGTCCAACTATACTTCAGCTATCAAGATACCTTGCTGCTCATCCGCCACAAAGCAGGTTGCTTCATTTTGTCACTGTAGAAGGGAAATTAATAGGAAATATCCAGGTGCTATAAACCAGACACCACTAATAAAAACAGAACATTTCCTCACAACCAAAACTCTCCCAGTTATCTAAATAGAATGACCTTTACCTTATACCAAAATAAAGAATAAAGATTTAAATGAGAAAAACAATACCATAAACGGGCTAGATGAAAATATTGGAGAATATATTAGGGCCAGCTCGTGGCTCACTCGGGAGAGTGTGGTGCTGATAACACCAAGGCCATGGGTTCAGATCCCTATATAGGGATGGCCAGTTAGCTCACTTGGGAGAGAGTTTATTTATTTATTTGTTCGTTTGTTTGTTTGCTTGTTTGTTTGTTTTATTATATTTTTTAAAGTTTTATATTTATTAATTAATTTATTTAT